ATCACCAGGTTGAGGCCAGCCTCAGCTACGTAGTGAGACCCAGTCCCAAAAACTCAAAACAAACAAAAAAGTGGGAACCCTAGAGTTAAAAAGGCCAGGGTGGGAGTCTCCAGGTGGCTCTTTTCAGTAACCAAAACAAAGCTCACCTGCCTTCTCCAGAGTCTGTTCCTTATCCAGAAACCCCGTTCCATCCCCAATCTGTCTTCCCAAGCTAAAAACCCAGGAATCGGCATCTCCCCACCCTTGCCTTTGCAGCGTCAGAACCGGATTGACTGGGATGTGAGTGCGGCCGAGGCCTCCGCTTCAGCTGGGTGGGGCCCGGCACCCGCTCCTGGAAGCAACCCCTGCCAGCTCTGCAACGGCTCCCCCGCCAGGCACCTTCCTCCACCTGCAAACTCCCATAGTGGCTGCGTGCCGCTGTACAGAGAAAGCTCAGCTCTACCCCTCACAGGCTGCACACCTGGGGCTGCCCCTTCCCCCAAGGTAAAGGCCTGCGCCCCTGTCCCGGCCCTTGGCGCAGGAGCCTGAACCTCAGCTTCCCGCTAGTGCCCTGGCCTTTCCATGCTGCTATTCAGCTCCAGCTCCATTGCTCCAGGGCCTCTGCTCACCACTCCAGAAGTCAGTCCCCTCCTTACTTTTCTGTGTTTGATGCAGCCCTCCACCACACTTGGCACTATACTGTCATTTTAGGGGCATGGTGGCCACACTGGTAATCTCAGCACTCAGGAGGCTGAGGCAGGAAGATCCACAAGTTCAAAGCCAGCCTGGGTTACACAGTAAGACCATGTCTCGGGGAAAAATAAATAAATAAATAAATAAATCAGGCATGGTGGTGCATGCCCGTAATCCCAGCACTCGGGAGGCTGATGCAGAAGGGTTGCCTCGAGTTCAAGAACAGCCTAAATTACAGAACAAGACCCTATCTCAAAAACAAAAACAAACACACAACACTTTACAGAAAAACTGTATATGGAGCTCAGTGGCTCAACGTTAGCATAAACCCTGTGATGAATTTAGGGCCAGCTATTATGCAGTAAAGTGTAATACAGGGGGGGTTAGAATGAGAAGCCCTGGGCATGAATTCCAATCCTGCCACTTCTAAACCAGGTTACTTATGGCTAAGTTAATTAACCTAAATCTTAGTCTCCTTGCCTGAAAAATATGCAAAAACAGTACCTGCTAAACTGGATGTGGTGGCCCATCCTCTAATCCTAGCACACCCTGGAAGGCTGAGGCAGGAGGATCACAAATTCCAGCCCTGGGGCTGGGGATTTAGCTCAGCGGCAAAAGCGCCTGCCTGACAAGCGCAAGGTCGTGAGTTCGGTTCCCGGTACCGGAGAAAAACCAAAAAAAAAAAGAAACCAATCAAATATTTGCTTTTGGTTAGCACAACTCATGATCAAAAATATGGTGAATGTTTAAAAATTATTTTTAGATTTATTCGGTAA